AGAAAGAAAGAAAGAAAGAAAGAAAGAAAGAAAGAAAGAAAGAAAGAAAGAGAAAGAAAGAAAATGCCCCCATCAGACTGACTGGTGAGCAACCCTGTGAGGCATTTTCTTAATTAGTGATTGATGTGGGAGGGCTGGCCTATTGTGAGTGCTTCACCCATGGGCAGGCGGTCCTGGGATGTTAAGAAAGCAGGCTGAGCAAGAAGACTTGGGGGAACAAGTCAGTGAGTAGCATTCCTCCGTGGCTCCTCCTTCAGCTCCCACCTCCAGATTCCTGCTTTCTTAGGAGTTCTTTCTTTAGAGTTCTTGCCCTGGCGTCCTTAGATGATGGACTGTGATGTGGACGTACGAGTGATGTACGACTTTCTTCCTCAGGTTGCATTTGGGCACAGCGTTTTACCACAGCAATAGGAAGCTAACCAAGACAAGCCAGATCCTTCGGCTATGAGGAAATTGGGTGTGAGGAGGTCAGGGGACCTGCAGACGTCTGAATCAGCCATCCACTCAAGGTTTTTATTCACTGTGGAACACATGTCTTCTCAGGACCTTTGGGGCTGGTCCTTAGGCAGGGAGAGGGCTGAAGAGCACTGACACCTTTTCCTTCCCTAACATGAGGGTCCTTTCTCATTTCTCTAACAGGGCCATAAGGAAACTGTCAACTTCCTTCCTGACGCTCATTCACTTCTTCCAGCCCCATGGACCCAAAATCTTTTTTCACAGAGTGCTTATGGAACCTCCTTTCTCTTCTAAAAAATGTCTGGAGCCCCCACATCCAGGAGTGGTGTCACATCAGAGCACCTGCTTACAGCTATGCCTATCCCCTGGCTCCCTACTTGCCTCCAGATAGTGGCCTCTGCGACACGCGTCATCATCCAGGTCATTATGTCTTGGAGGAGGATGATAAAGGTGGTTAATAATGATAATAAATGGAATATTGCTACCTAAGCTCTATGTGTACTACTTTTCCAGGTCACCCAACAACCCACCTATTTTGACGTTCAAGATACTACACTTGTTATTAGCCAATAGGTAGGTCTCTCTCTCTCCCCCTTTCCTTCCTTCCTTCCTTCCTTCCTTCCTTCCTTCCTTCCTTCCTTCCTTCCCTCCTTCCTTCCTCCTCTCTCTCTCTCTCTCTCTCTCTCTCTCTCTCTCTCATTAGGATCTTGCTTTCTATCCAAGGCTTGCCATAGAACTCACAATCCTACCCCAGCTTCTTGAGTTCTAGGATTACAGACAAGCACCACCTTGCTTAATGATGCTCCTATCCTAGGACCCTCCTCTTCTTCATGACTGACACCTGAGGATGTTCCCAACTTCATGTTGGAGGCTTTGAATCTGTTTTTTTTTTTTTTTAAAACTGTCCCAGGTAGCTTGTTTAAAGCTCTAAGTTCCAAGGCTCTACCTTATCTGCCTGGGGCAAGGCTTAGTGTTTTAAAACCTCATCTGATTGATTGTCAACTTGATACTATCTAGAGTCACCATGGAAACAAAGCCTTGGCATGTCTCTGAGGAAGCATCTAGATTAGGTTAATTGAGTTGGGAGGATGAGGATCCGTAGTGGGTAGCACCATTCCCTGGGCTCAGGTTGCAAACTGAATAAAAAAAGGAGAACTGAACATGAACACTCATTCCTCGATGCTTCCTGACTGTGGATGTAATTTAATCAGCCCTCAAGCTCCTGATGCTGTTACTTCTTCATCGAGATGGACCACACCGTCAAACAGTAAATTGGAATAACCTTTCTTCTTTAAGCTGCTTAGGTCAGCTCTTTTGTCATAGCAACAAGGCAAGCAATTATTGCACTGGGTGATTCTGGATTAGGGAATCTGTGCTCAGTGGAGCTTGTGATGTACATAGATTGTATTGTGTTGGTTCTCAAGGCAGACATAACAATTGTGCTCGTCTTAGCCTGGAGTTTGTGAACTAGATGTGATGTAGCCAGAGGTGGGGCAGGGTATGAAGTGTGGAGAGAGAGTGTGCGTTGGGGGGGGGGTACTTGAGGAGGAATGGTTGTGAGAGGGAGAAAAAGAGGGGACAAGGCCTCTGACTGTCATCTAGGAACTGGTGGTACAGATGTGGAATGTGACAACGACCCCCAAAAGACCTGGGCATGGCTATCGTCAAATTTATCGAACAGGGCTTGAGGACCATAAAAGGTAGGACCAGGTTCAAACTCGAGGACGATTCCCTGGAAGCTCCTGGACATGGAGGCAGGTACAGAGGTGTTCCAGAAGCAGAGTCTAACTGGTGGTGTTTATCCTGGCTGTCAGAGGCCTTCCTCCACCCACTGTCCCGCCACCCACAACCCAGTCATCCATCCATCTACCGACCTATCTACCTATATCTATGGCTTTCTCTGTATAGCCCTGGCTGTCCTGGAGATTGCTTTGTAGACCAAACTGGCCTTAAACTCAGATCTGCCTGCCTCTGTCTCCCAAGTGCTGGGATTAAAGGTGTGCATCACCATCGATTGGCCCTCTTTTTATTTTAAACCATCTTTCCCAGGAAGTGTAGCTCAATGAGTCTAATCTGGCTGGCAGCTGTACTCAAAGCTCAATGTAGCTCCTGCATGCCTACCTTATGCTCCACTAGGGGCTCGTATTCCTTTTTGGTCAACAGAAACTTTTTTTTCCTTCCCCACAGTTTCTTGATACCCTACTTCCCATTCCTCACTCTCAGAGGTGGCCGTGCCCATGAGCCTGCTCAGCATACACTTACAGGGGTGTGTCTGGGTTCACCCCTCATTTCCTCTCTTGACTTCAGCTCTCCACAAACAGAGTGAGGGGGTTGGACTGGCACCGTGACTTTGGAACAAAAATGTAAGGTCTGAAGTCTTCCCAGAGTACTTGTAACCCACCAATATCTACAGTATTCAAGGTCAAGGTAGAAGGTCATGTCACACCCTTTCAAATAAAATTAGCAATTCTCATCCTATTCGGCCACAGCCTTTTGCTCCATAGCCCTTAGCCAGGTAGGCCAATGTCTAATTTGCAGTCTAGGGTCCTTGGTGTCTGAATTCTTGGAGTGGGGATAACAGTGGCCTAGCCTCCAGAGAACCAAAATGTGATGTAGATGTAAGAATGTTTGATCAAGTATGCGAATCCTGAACATCAAGTCTGTTCACTTACTCATCTGCAACAGGAGACATACTCAGAGAATAGCCTGTAGAGAACGCGGTACCAGCTGGGAGTGGGCAGTGGTTGCACACAGGAAGCAGACTTAGCCCTATTCAGACAGGAACTACCTTGGGCCATCCAGCCTTGGGTTCCCTGCTCTGTCTGGCTGAGGCACTGGCCAAAGGTTTTGGGTTTAGACAGGAGAACCTATGGCCTAACTAGCATGAAGTTTCTCCTAAGCCCTAATTCAACTAGGAAGCTGAGCGTGGATGCTGGTATCTGCAACTGGGCATCAGGCCTCAAGCCCGGGGAAGGGGTGGGTCTGGCTTCTTCAGCTCAAAGCTCCGCCCACAGAGGCTGTGCCTGAGACTAATTGGCTTGCCCTCCTTCCTTGAAGCCGCAGAAAAGTCTTGCCTAATTTGCCGGAACGCTCTAGTTAAATGCCAATTAGGATGTCCTGTCCACTGCTCTCTTCCAATATATTAATAATGTAATTAAGCATTTATTGCCCGCACAAATTAAAAATTAACTTAAACAGACAGCCTAAAAAACTGAGGAAATAACTGCTTAGACAACCAATTTGCATCTCATTCGAATATCAACACCTAAACACAGCTCTGTCTGTCCTGGGTGCCTTGGTTTAGCCTTCCAGTGAGGAGCTCAGCCAGCTGCCAACAGCTGCAGGCTCTTCCTTTTACACGCTGGATTCTGCCTTTCTGTACCCCCCCCCCCCCAATCTTGTGGACTTGTTCCCTAGTGGACCTAAGGGCATTTTGCTAAGCAGCCCCCTTGTCATCTGTGGTCCCTCCCCTCCCCCACCTAGAGCCCAAGGCTCTATGGTGTGGATCTTGGTGAAGAGAGATGCCACCAGGGGTGAGTAGGAGGGGCAGTTCCTGAAACCCCTGTCCTCCCACCCTCAGGATCGATTTGTCCTGCATTCCAGCCCAGGAGATGGGAAGCAGATGGTGCTGGCATGGGGAGGAGGAGGGAATGGAAGATCCAGAAGGGCTCCCCCCAGCCAGCCCCCTGGGAGAAAAGGGGTAAGGCTGGGACCAGGGAGAGCTATTGAGAGATGGGGCTGCATCCTCAGAATAGAAGAGGAAAAGATAGAGCCCTCCTCTTCTCTGTCTCCAGGGATCTGTCTAACACAGCAGGTGCTCCACTTCGGGTCTCCTTCTCCTCAGAGCCACGGGGGACCTGGCGGGGGAAACAGGACTCCAAGGACATGGGCAAGAGGGGAACAACCCAGGGAGGGGTGGTGACTGAGGAAAGAGCTCTGGAACAGGGGCAGCCTGTGGCTCTAGCTAGAGCAGGCCTTCCTCAGCTGGGTACTCTGTCAAAACCTTCTTGATCCTTCTCCCCTAACCCCCATGTGCCTTGGCCCTGGCCCCTGGATGCCAGACTTCCCTCTGTGTCTAGCACGGCTCACGTCTTCTCATGGAAGGATGGCTCCATTACAGCCTGCAGGCACTGAACCAGGGATGCCTACCAGGTGGCCAGTGGGGCACCTCAATGAGTCCCTGCCGTAGAACCACTGGGTGCTCTTCTGTCCTCCCACTGTCTGGCTGTGTCTCCTTTTCTAGCTTTGCTCACACCCCACTGCAGTGACACCAGGCACACAGGCTTGTTTTAAACACTTTATTTATAAAAAAGTACATTTTTTTTTCTCAGTACATTTTCAACCCATCTTTTTTTTTTTTTTAATACAAGTAAAAGGGGGTGGGGCAACCCTCCCCCCTCCAGGTCAAGACCAGGATCTGCTGGGCTGTCCCCAGGACCAAAGAGGAAAACAGTGAGGAAGAAACTGAAGCAAAGGAAGCTAGCCACACTCAGAGGCGAGGGTGGCAGCTTCTCCTGGATTTTGTTTCCATTTGTTTAAAAAAAAAAAAAGTCACCTCCCCTCCCCCCCCAAGCCCATTCCTCACAGCCAGGGTCAGAAAGCAGCATCGGTGAGGCTGGGTTCCTCACCTCTGGGTATCTCTGGCCCGGCTCAACCTGAGCCACCTGCCCTCACCAGGAGAGGGTTTCAGTTGGCAGTCAGGCTTGGGGATGTCTCTACCTGGACCCCCAGAGGCCTGGGAGCACCGCCCTCCTCTCAGGAAAGGGAATGCAGTGTCCTGCTTGGCTCAGAGGAGTGGTCCCAAACCCCCGACATAAGTCCTGATTCTCCCACCTCAAGGATGGCAGAAAAGTTATTGCACCAGTGACCGGGGCACACAGGGGTGGCTGGCAGAGGGGCACCTTCCCGGGGCTTGGACCCCTGTCCATCTGTCTTGGGCCTGAGCATTAGTAAGGGCTTCTCATTCCTCACGTGCGTACTTGTGCTCACACCTGCCTGTGCTTGGTCTGTGGAAGGCGTGTGTCGGTGTGCTGGGCGTGTATTCACTGACTATGTGCTGCTGTTTTTTTTTTTTTTTTTTTTTTTTTCAGGTCCTTCTGGTAAAAGAGACTTGGAGAATTGTTTCACATCAGAACAATATCAAAATCTGTGGGTAAACGGGAGTCCAGAAGCAGTGGAGGGACAGGAGAGGGGGACCAGCGAGGGACAACAACTGGAGAGAGAGGCCTTGGCGGTTGACACACCAAGCTGATTCTCAGCAGTATGGCAGGAGCTCAGCTGTGTCGGGGTCATGAAAGTGAAGCAGAATGCCCTCTGCTCTGCTGCTCCGGGCCTTCCGCTGTCAGCTGACTGTGTCCACTGCCCCACAAACGCAGGAGCAAAGAGAGCCCCGCCTCCTTAGGCCCAGCTATTGGCCCCTCCCTCGTGTCCCCTCTCAGCCCAGGTGGCAGCTGCCTGGAATTGGTGCCACAGCTGGGAACCTGAATCCTGCTGCATGGACCCTATAAATTGTGCTTTGCTTGGGGGAATGGTGTGCAGGTATCTACAGGGGAACTTAGATGCTTGTCCCAGCCCAGGGCCTCCTCGGTCTATCACAAAATAAGGGGATGACAGTGAAAGGTAAGAGAGATACAGGAGGGTGGGTCCTTTCAGTCTTTCGGTTCCATAGGGATAAAAATTCCTCTATGAGGGAGTCAGGGTTCTGCCTCCTGCCTTGGGGGTCAGAGGACCAAGCAGAGAGACCAGAGTGGTGCGAGGAGCAGGGAAGTGGTATGGCATGGGAGGGACATTAATACTGCTGGAGGAAGCAGCCCAGCTCCATCTTACTCTGCCCTGTGGCTAGAAAGGCCCCAGAGCTTTCTTCTTCAAACTTCACCCCATCCAGCGTCCCCAGTGCCAAGAGGGGAGAGCTGCCCCAGGGCTGGCATGGCTTCAGACTTCTGCTACATGGCTACTGGGAGGCCTGGGTTGGGACTAGGGCAGTGAGGGCCTGGCGAAAGGGCCCCAGTTGGTGGGCTGAGGGGCACCAGAGATGGTGTTTGGATTGGGAATTCAATAGCAGCACCAGGGAAGGGAGTGGGTGAGGGCTGGGGCTCCCTTAGGAAGCCTATGGCAGGGTGGTCAGTGACCGTGGGGCACAGAATGGTCTGCCTCCCTCTCCCCAACATTTGCTATTCCTCAGAGAGTATCACCTTGGGCTGAGTTAGCCGAGATCCTAGCAGGCAGGCCCGAGGGCTCTTGAAGTCCATTTTGCCGACCCCAGGGCATAGGCATACCCATTTAGAATGTGGGGAATCTGTGGGGCACAGATGGAGAAACTGAGGCACTTTGAGCTTGGGGACGGAGGGTTGGGAGGGGGGCCTTTCTCTGTGCACTCAAGGGAAGGCCTAGCCCCAAATGGCTGAAAACGCCAGAGTCCCATTCAAAGAGGGAGTCTGCATGCAAAGGAGGGCCCTTCCATGGTCCCCCCCTCCTCTCAGCATGGCACCAGGAGAAATTGAGCAGGGATCAGACTGAATAATCAACAGGTTCCCAGGTGCCCCTGCACTTTCTCTGAGACTGGTGACATCTAGGCTGGCCTTCCTGTTGAGACACTAACAGTCCCCTTCAGTCTACCAGATTGTGTTTGCAGAGCTTCCACAAGGCTGCCTTCTCCACACAAATTCTTCTTTGCCTCAAATTTCTCCCTGGGATCCCAGCCCTGACTTTCCAGAAGAGTCAAGTGTTGCTCGCACCTGACAGATAAGGGGAAATCTGAGAAACATGTACGCTGGAAGGAAAGGTTGGAGCTATACCAAAATCTTAGAGTGGCAGCAGCTGGGTGGTTCATCCTAGCTGTCTCTGAATGCTTATGTGGGCCAACCCCTTCCTGAGGGGGAGAAGCGGAGAGTGCCGGAGCAGAGGCTTGGGCCCAGGGCAGTGCTCAGCCTGGGCAGGCCATGAGAGCACTGGGGAAGGTTGGCATAGACCCGGGGGTGTGCACATGGATATGTGTGCATGTGTTGGCAGAGGCATATAGGAACTGTGGGTGGAGTCCACCTGGGGTTGCCCACTGTGTTGAGAACAGACTTGGGGACAAAAGAGGGGGATATATGAGAGCGAGGCCAACTCTATTTTGTAGGCCAGAAGGAAGAAGGGAAAACATAAAACCACCCTCACCAAGAAACCACACTGCCCAGGACCCTAGCAGGAACCTCACTCAGCTCCATTATTTCACAGACAAGACTCCCGTGGGTACCGTGGAGAACACCCCTAAAACCTCTTAGGTGCACTGGCTGCATCAGCTTAGTGGGGGGGCATTGGGTTACCTCTCTCTGGGAAGAGGAGCAGCATGTGGGGTGGGGTGGGGGTGCGCTTCATCTTGAAGCTCCCTTTGCCCTCCACCCCCAATAAAGAGAACACAAACAAATTCCAGTGTTGGGGGGATGGGAGAGGACTGGCTCCCCAAACCCTGAAGGGATGCCCAAGTACACAAGACAAGAACAGGGCTCCCTACACAGTGGAAGGGGTCCTTAAAGGAAAGATACGGCAACACCAAAGCCACGGTCGAACACAACACCATGGGGAAGGGGGGGGTGAGGGAGGAAATAAAAAAACGAAGCCAAGTGGGGTCTGCCCTGAGCTCCCCTGGCTCCCCAGGAGTTTGGGGCTGGTTTTAGGGCAGCTGGTCAAGTCTTTGTCGAGCTCCTGGGGCAGTGGGCTGTGGGGGTGGGCAGGGGACGTGCGGGTAGGGGCCAGGGAGAAGTGGGCACAGACAGAGGCTTCAGAAGGCGGGGCTACACATACCACTCTTTCTTGGAAATGAAAGACCCGTCGTTCTGAGAAACCATGTTCTCAGCCAAGTCCAGCTGTTCAGGGTCATACTGGTAGCCCAGAGTCCGGTCCGCATAGCCGTCCTGACGGGCCTCAGCTTCATCCACAGTGAAGTAGGGCCGTTTGGCGTCCTCGTCATATTTGGGGTGGGGTCCGCCCACTTTGCGATCACTACCTCCGCCGCCCTCCTCTTCTTCTTCCTCCTCATAGCTGCTCCCACCCAGTGGGCCAACCTTCTTCTCGTCATCCGAGTCATCTGGGTACTGCAGGTTCTGTGCCATAGGCGGGTGGTGCTGGGGGATTCCTGCCTTGCTGTAGCCATTGCCGTACACATGCTTCTTGGTGCTGTAGTCACCCTTGAAGGTGTGCCGGCGGCGGCGCAGGGCCACTACGATCCCTCCAACCACAATCAGCACCAGCAGGACACTCCCTGCCACGCCCCCAATGATGGCCGTGGGCATCTGGCCCGCGCGCCGCCCGTGTTCAGGAGACGGGGTGTAGGGGAACTCTGGGTGAGGAAAAGAGATGGGGGGGTACTGTCAGTGTCTGCTCTTCGGAAGTCAGCAGGGGTGTAGGGAGGCAGGGGAGGGAAAAGCCCAGGACAGGATGTCCACAGCCCAGATTTGAGCAGTCCTGCTTCTAGAGGCCCCTCGGCACCCCACCTTCCTGGGGTCAAGCCTGGCTGCAGCATTGGCAGCTAGAATAAGGCAGGCAAGAGGAGAGTGGCAGCTAATGTCTGCAGAGCACCCAGCCTTCCATCCTGACCATCCCTGGAGGTGGCACCAGTCCTGTCTATCCCACTGTGGTGCGGAGACACACCTGCAGGTAGGAAACTTTGTGTCCCTCACTGTCACCACCCTCCAAGGGTAGTCTGCTGTTCATTTCTATTCAGTGCGGGAGGCAGCTAGGGAGGCTCTTACCAAGACCACTTAGCCAATTAGCTATCATATTGGTTTTGTTTGTTTGCTTGCATATAAACCCTGTGCGCACATCACCAGTGTCCTTTTGCCTGACATGTAGAAGTGATTGTCCCGACACCAGAAGCCTAGTGGGTCTCCCAGGACTCATTTCTTTTGCCTTCAGGATACACAGAAAATAGGTTCCCAAGTAGACATCCTGTGAGTCAATTGTCTGCACCCTGTGAGTGTCAATTGTATGCCAATGTGCTACAAACCAGGGCTGTCAGTCTTAGTTGTGGTCTGGCTCTGCAAGGTAAGCTGGAGACCTGTTGGGATTGCCAGCTTGGGCTAGAGGATTGAAATACCCAAAGTGACAGGTTATAGGCACAGGGCAGGGACAGGCAGAAAGGGGTTGTAGAGGCCTGTATGGGTATTACAGCTCAGGAACACACACACGTAAGAACATGTTTAATAGCCCACTGGCCTTGCCAAGTACAACAAATGTGTTCAAAAAGAAAAGGAGAATAGCCAGAGCTGGGTATATTGGCTCATACTTATAATTTCAGGATTTGAGAGACTAAGGCAAGGGGATTGTTATAAGTTCAAAGCCAAGTTTGGGTTACAGAGCAAGACCCCCCTCCCCCCCAAAAAAAAAGGACAAAAAGAAAAAAAGAAAGGAAAAAGAAAAGTCAATAATGCAGACAGAGTGGAAATAAAAAAGGCAACATAAAAGACTAGAAGGAAAAGGTAGGTGGCTTTTTTGTCAACCCTGTCATCTCTTTCTTTCCTTTCCAGGCCTGGGAAGTGGATGGGTGACTATGAAGCCGGGTTAAGCCAGGCCAAGCCAGAGGCCAAGAGGTCTCAGGGCAAGACACAGGGAGATGGTTCCCAGCACTACCACTGGGTGGCACCCGAGACCATGACTGGCCTTGGTAGGGAGCTAGGGTGTAGACCCGGAAGGCCGCTGTCCATTCTTCTCCCCAGCCTGGCCCAGGAGGGCCAAGGCCAAGGTAACAGATCTGTCTGGGCCCCTGTGTCTGCAGCTGGGAGCCTGCTGCAACCAGCTCACTCCCTGATTCAGGATCACTCACTCCATCGGAATCACACTCCTCCCATGGGCCCCTTGTAAGTGTGTGGGGTGCGATTGGCAGGCAGGCAGGAGCAGGGCGGAGGTTCTGAATGGGGGAGAAGCTTTCCCGTGGCTCAGGCTAGAAGGGCTAGTGAAAACATGGGGCCCCAAAGAGGGGTGGGGTGGGGGCACTTGCCTGAGGTCACATGGCCACCCAGTTGCTCCTGAGCCCGGAGCTGGGCGGAGGGAAGCACAAGCCCAGAAGAGTCAGCTTCCCGCTTGCCACCACTATGTCCTCAGTGCAGGTCCACAAGTGTTTACTTTATCTGTCTTTGCTGCCTATTTCTGCAACACTCCCTGGGAGCAGTCTCGAGCTCATCACGGTCCACTGGGTCCCGTTCGCTCACTGCTTTAGAAAGGAGGTACCTTACTCTCAGCTTGCCTTCCCCTCCCCAGTCCTCAGATCTGGTCCTCTACATCTGCCTCCAAGTCTTTCTATGCTCGGTTAATTCAGAACAAGGCCTCGCTAGCCCAGGCTGCCTTTGAACTTGAGATCTTCCTATCTCAGCCTCCCGAGGGTTAGGGTTCCAAGCCACCACTCCAGGGGAATCTTCACCTGTCTACTTCCTTATTCGGTCAGCAAATAGCCCCCAAATATATCTTTCTCTCTACTCCACAGCATTGCTACGGAGGAACCAAATGACATGCTTGGAGACGCAGCAGCAGGCAGCAAGGGGGCTGGAGGTGAAGTGCTCAGGTGTGTAGGAGAATACTGAGGTATGCACCTCACGTTCACTGGGTCTCCACTCTCTTCGCTGTCCCACCCAGTGAGAAGAGTAATTAATTCCCATTGGAGAGACATGACCACTCTTTTATCTCAAAGACCAGCAGCAACTGCCCATTGCCTGCTGGGACTTACACCTGGTCTGCCACCCTCCCCCCACCACCATCATGCACCTTCATGGACGACTGCTATGATTTGGAAAACTGTCCCCACCACTGTAACTCACATTCTTCCTGTGATGTGCTGCCTCATCACAGGCCCGAAAGCAACAGGTCTAACAATCTTTAACCGCAACTTTTGAAACTGAGCTAGAATGAACTCTCTCCATGACCCCCATCACCCCCTCGCATCCCTTGACAAGTATCTCACTATGTAGCTCTGGCTATCCTGGAACTCGGTAGGCTGGCCACAGAGATGTGTCTACCTCTGCCTCCCAAGTGCTGGGATTAAAGGTGTGCAAACCTTTCCTCTTTCAAAATTGATTATTTTTAAAGATATTTTGTGACAATAATAGAAAGCTGATTAATACATTATGCTTGCTATCTAAATGTGTTCTGGCTTGTGTGTGTGTCACTAAGGATTTAATATAGAGTCTGGCACAAGCTAGTATTCTACCACCAGGCTATATTCTTAATTCTCCTACTTTGTATTTTGAGGTAGGCTATCACTAAGTTTCTCAGGATGGCCTTGAACATGTGATCCTCTGGTTTCAGCTTCCCAAGCAGCTGGGAATACAGACCCAATGAGTCCCTAAATCACCCACAAGCCTTTGCTTATGCCACACACCCTGCAGCAATGCCTTCCTCACGTGGGCTTCTCTTCTGTAGCTCACTTCGTCTCTGTAGACTTTATATGAACCGATATATGCATCCTTCGCTCCATTTTAAACAATTTTAGAGCCAAATTTATTAATCACAAATTTATTAGGATTAACCACAGTTGGTCCTGGCTCTGCTTTCAGCCGGAATAAGGAAAGAGCTAGGGGAAGTAGCTCCCCGTCCTCCGGGGCTGACTCACTGCAGCATGGCTGCTGTGCATAAGTTCTTCAGCGGTTACTTGCCTGCTTTCCCAGCAAAGAACCAATGAAAAATACCGTGCTCTTACATTTAGCTCAGCTAGATTGGATTTTCTGACCCCACTAATCACAGGATGACAGGGTCGGCTGTACCATCTGTCTGGTGAGAATGGTTGGTGTCCCAAACTACTCTGTAAATTATATTTTGAAATAAATCTGGAATCTAACTGCTTCTCACCATTCCATCCCAAGCACCCTCATCTGAGACACCACCATCTCTCACCTGGATTATTTATGGCTATCGACACCTAACTGCTTTCCACCCTTTGCATCTATAGACTACATTTGCTACAGAAGCCAGTAAAATCCCATTAAAGCATGAGTCGTATCCCATCGCTACCCTGTCCAGAGCCCCTAATGTTTTACTATTTTACTCTCAGAGAAGGCCAAAGCCAGGGAGCCTAGAATGTTCTCCACGACCTGCATCCTGCCTCAACCCCTGACACCATCTTGTCCTGCTTTTCAGCAGGTTGAGGGCTATTTGTGAAGGACCCGAGGGAGCTTCACACCATCACCTACTCCAGGGCTGGGCTTAAACAGCACTTCCTCATGGACACTTTCCTCGTCCACCACATTTAAAACTGTGATGTACAAGTCCCTCACCCTCAACACAGTGACCTCCTTCTCACTGTTCTCTTTCCTGTGTCACCTTCAGGATCCCATAAGCTTCACAAGGATGGACTTTGGTCTGTTTCGCTCACTGATTTATCCCAAATGCTGAGACCACATGGTGAAGAAATTCTTGTTGAATAAAAAGACATATTCTCTCATGTCACAGCTCCGCCTTGGAGGGGAGCCTCACTTTGGGCAGAACAAGCATTTGGTCCACAGATAAAGTGGATCTGGGACACACTGGTGACCTCAGGGACAGATTACACTTGGTTCTCTACCTCTGACCTCCCCACTCAGGTCCTCTACTTAATGTTTTTCCTAGGCTCTAATGAGGTTTACTGTTCCTGGGGGATCCCTTGGGACCAAAGGAAACCCACGCTATCTTGACTACTTTAAGGTCAGGTCTGTGTACAGCAGAGGGATAGCTAAGATGCCAAAATAAAAGCACCAAGTGAGAGAGGCAGATGGAGGGATAGTTATGGGAACTTAATTCATGTGCAGACAAGGAGAAGGTGCCCCTCGCCTCTACCCCTCCATTTGTCATAGTCAGCCAGCAGCTTCTTTCTGTGCCAGAAGCAGAACTGCTAGGGGCAGAGCTGGGTGGAGAGGAAAGAAATGAGCACTGGGGTCATTTGCTTTTGCTGCTGGGGGCCCAGCTGGTCTCTCTCACATCCTCTTATAAAGTAGCCTACTTGGCCCTGCTTCTGAAGGGCTGGAGCCTTCCCTCTGGGAACCTGGGATGGACAAAACCTAAGAGCAATGAAACTTCTCATTCTGGGACCCCAGTTCCCAGACTAAGAAGGGTGACTAGGTGTGTGGGGCTTTGGATGGACCTGAGGTGAACTGGAGTTAGGATTTATAGTTTGGAACTAGGATCTAGGGTCAAAGAAGATGTCTGTGCTTGCTTCCACAACCACTGCATAATGTTTTGGCAGGCAGGAAATGACCTGCATCAGATCAGGCCAGGAGATTGTGAGAACTACATTTCCCAGCATGCAGTGAGGCCAGCCACAGGGAGAGCGGGAAGGCCTGGGGTTATTCCCTGAGCCTTGCTGCCTTCCTGTAGCTGAAGCAGCTATGTAGTTCCTCCATTGTCTGACAGGTCTCCTGCAAGTTGGAGGAAGGAAATCCCAGAGGTATATGGACACAGCTGCATCCTCAGACTCCCAAACATGCTGCCATTCGCTGGCTTGGAGACAGGCACATTCACCCCCAGCATAGCCCCAGGCTTCCATTTGCACACTCAGCATGCAGACAGGGCTTGCCTGCTCACACTGGCTCACAGAAGAACACACCCACACTCGTGTCTGGGCATGCATGCTTGCAGAGACACTCTCCGTGAAGGCCCACCATCCTTGGTCCAAAGAACTGGCCTGACTGGCATGCCTCACGGGATGAGTCCAGACTTCAGTAGTAAGAGTTGGGACAGACATAGTGAACTCGAGCGGCTTTCCTCCCTGCTCCTCTCGATTGGCAGAGGCCAATCTACCACTTTTCTTCTAACACCCTGAGGGCCAGAAGCTATCCTGTTTGGTCAAGGCCATACCCTGGACTCCTCCCTACTCTTGAGGTTAGTCCTTGTGGAAGAAGGTAGGCACTACCTCTACTATCTTGTGGCACCACTGACCCAGCACTCTGAAATTGCTTCTCAGCACAAGGGCCTTGCAAACGGGTTTCTCTGAGCGGTCAGATGCTGTTAACGGCATCCACAAATTCCACTGCGTTGTCCACTCAGCTTTCTTGTCCCTATGGCCACAGCTTGCGCCTATTTCACACTAGGAGTCATTTACTATGACAACCCCTAAATGGTGTCCTGGTGCCACCGCACAGCCACCTGAACACAGTCAACCCCCCCAGTCCCGCTATGCTGCTCCACAGCGAGCCTTCCAAAGGCCCTCAGGCCCATCTTCCATGCTCACCACCGCCGTCCTGCTGCCTCACCTGATCCCCCTGTCTATTCCACTCCAGCTGCTCTTCATTCCCCCCTCCAGATGTGCCCAGGCCAAAGCTATTACCTGAAAAGATGGCCACAATGAAATATTAAATTTCCACTTATCCCTCTTACTCATGCATTGCTTTAGACCAGTGAGGCTGGGAGCATAGGGCCCGGCTATGCTCCTCGGGTTGTTGCCAGAGATGCAGAGGGCACTTGCTGGTGTGGGGAAAAGTGGCTGTCTGCCACTTAGGAATAAACAGCACTGGATCCTTCAGAAAGGCAACCCCCACAGCTCCTGAGCCTATCAGGAGATCAAGGAATGTCATGCTTTTTTTTTTTTTTTTTCTTTCTCTTGGCTCCTGGCTAATAGATTTGCCAGCACAGAGCACTGGTATGGCCCTTTTCCAGTTGGTGCTCTGGGTGGCTTTAGACCACCTGTCCTTGAGCACACTCCAGGAGTTACGTGCAAAAGAGCACAAACCGCTTCCCAGACCTGACTACAGGACCCACAGCAGGTACCAGGTACTTATAGCAGCTTCCTCCTCATGGCTAGTTCTCTTCCTTTTCCTCCTGGACCTGAGCCCTAAGGAGCAGTCCTTCCTCATGACCATTGCCTTTGTTACTTGGCTTTCAGAGATGGATGCCACTTTCCAGCTTTCTTGGGGCTCTGAGGCTGAGTATTCTTGCAGGGTCTCTGATCACGCTTCTCATACTGAGAAGCAGCATCAATGAGAAGATGCTTTTGGGCTCCTTACTTCAGCCAAGTTTCTTCTAATCAGCCACTTTCCCAGAGTTCCTGGGTGGCAGAGTAGAATGTTGTCATGGCATTGGTGATCCTGTTGGAGGGAGTACTCTGTGGTCATGCAGAGAATGAGACAGAAGTTTGACTATCTCCGCATTACAGATTGGGAAGCTCAGGCTCAGAGGCAAAGAACTTATTCAAGGACACACAGCCAACAAGAATCCTTCCATGAACGCATAGCTGGTCCTCAGATGACACTGTTGGTCACCCTCACTATGATGAGTCCTCGTAGGAGGTGGCTGGGATTTTCCTCATCCAACCCCATGGCCTCAGGGCCAGAGCTCAGGCCCGTAAGAGGCTCAACTTATTCCAGAAAGGAGCAGAGTGTGGCAGTCCTCTTCTGCTTGTCTGCCACCCTATAGAAACTCCCAAACCCTATCCTGGCCTGTCACCTTGGCTGTCACCAGGCTCCAACCCTGGCACCTCTGCAGGGGGTTGAAGAGAATAGTAAGTGACCATGCCCTCTTGTTCCTAGGTGACAGGGCAGTGCAGTCCCTGGCTATCTCCAGCTGCTTTCTGTGCAGATGGGTTTGAAATGTACCCACAGATGATGCCTCACTCTCTTGGGACAGATGCTCAGTGCCAGTGAATTCTCGGGGCCCCCCAAACCTGTGTCTAGCTAGAACTCTTAACCATTACCTAGTTTCCTGGAGGCCCAAGGCCGCTCTTCACATGTTATTATGTCTCCTTTGGTGGCAGCGAGATCTGCACATGTTATTATGTCTCCTTTGGTGGCAGAGGGATGTCCCTTCCTGCTTTCAGAGGTTCTTTGTGTCATTTTCTTATCCTACTACCAGCTTAGGTTTGATACTAAAAACACCCCCCCCCCCCGTGAAGTTTGGTGGCAATTTACTCCTTGGTGCATTTGTTTTGATGCTTCTGTTAATGATAGTGATAATGATAGGGGTCATGACAGTAATCACAGAGCCCTGGCCACTTACTGACAGACGAGGTTGTGCTAGGTTATGTGACCTACATTATGTGGCATCGGACAGCAGCCCTTCCTTCAAGGCAGGTCACACTGCCCCCATTTTACAGATGAGGCCTGCTCGGGTCATGTTCTGGGTGACGTCTCCCTTAGGAGCATCATAGAACTCACCCCCCCCCCCCCGAATGACTCACCTCCTCACGTAATGAGAGAAAGATCTGGAAAAAGAGCTGTTCAGTCTCGAGACATATGTATCCAGTGCCTTCAGGGTTCATGCTCACTATAGCCTCTACCTCACTGTCTTATGTTCTGCTTGAGGTGAGCCTCTCCCTGCAGCCCTACAGGTTTCCTCATCTCTACCCTGCAGAACTTGGAGATGCACTCCATCTGCAAACCTGCCCCACCAAGCCAGCATGACTCCCTGGTGCAGGCAGTCAGCCGTTGCCCTTAAACGCCATTGCTAAAAACAGCACTTCCTGCCCCTCTCTCACTGAGGGTCACTCTGACTGTACCCTTTAGTTCCCCGTAAGGCAGAGAGAAAAACACAAAGAAAGAACCATGGCCTGAAACCCAGAGAAGCAAGAGCAGAAAAGAACAAACTTCCCATGATGCAATGAAAAGAGGGTGGAGCTATGGAGGGACCTTAGGATGGGGAGTGGCAGGGGTGGCTGAGGACTCCTACCTGTGATATTGACCTCCACCTGGCCTGAGCGGGTGCCAATGGGGTTGGTGGCTTCACAGATGTAGGTTCCTGCCAGGCTGTAGTTGATGGGTCCCCGGAAGAAGAGGGTTCTGTTCTGGGCCTCCACACCCTTGGGGAGAGAGCCATTCAACCTGTAGGTATTGAGAGACACAGTGATGGGTTAAGACTCTTCAGCCCCAAAAAGTAGCCCCTGGTGCACCTGCTTGGCTCCGGGGCTATCTACCACCTCTTTTGCTAAGTGTGTATCTTAGGGTATGTTTGGAATGGGGGAAAAAAGTAACAACAATAGTCTCTTGCATCTCGAAGTTTTCTATTATTTAGTAATTTATGGGTTTTTGTTGTTGTTTGAGACAGTTTTATTATATAGCCCAGGTTGGTTCTCAGCTTGCAGCAATCCCGACTGGGCTTCTCTGGTGCTGAGATTACAGGATTCGGGCCACCATGCCTGGCAGTTCATGTTTGATCATCACATCACTGAAATGTAGTCAAGGCAGGTGGATACCACTCCCACACCACAGATGAATCCGAGATCCAAGGCCAAGGACACACAGCTAGGAAGCAGCAGAGTGAGAGCCAGCTGGGTTGGCAGGCTTCAGTACAGTGCTTGCTCTACTGCTCTTGGGTCCTCTTGGTCCTTGGGTCTCCTTGGTAGTGGGCTGACAACAGAGACACCTGGGTCCATAGTTCTCTAGTGGGGCCGCTGGGGCCAAACGCATCTGGAGAAGCTAATCAGATGGGCAAACAGACATGGCTGAGCTCCTTCTCATCATCTTTCCGTTGCTGGGCGTGTCTCAAGACGTTTCCATGTGGGGTCCATCCTGGGAGTTTGCCAAGTACAGAAGACCTTCATCCTTCCCTTGTTTGCTGTTCTTCAGCTAAGCCAGCAGCCACTCCAGCTACAGGGCTGACTGGCAAGCAGGTTCTGCCCACCGTCACCTTCTGAAGCAGTTTTGTGCCTAGAAATGGAGGCTAACAGGACTCTCTACTGCCTAGAAAAAAGGCTTAGACTCACTCTGAGCTGCTGCCTTCTGGCCACCCATGTCAACTTTGTTAGCTTCCCCCACACCCTGTCTGAGTTCCACCTAGCTCTCTGTGGAAAGGATGTTGGCTTGAGATGTTCAAGTTGGTTGGAGGGGATGTGTTTTTCTCTAAAGGTCAAGTACCAGACTGTAATGCCAAGCACAAGATAGTGGGCCAGGGGATCCACTGCTGCCTCCACCCAGAGAACCTGGTTGCTGTAGAGAGGGTCTAAGAACAGAGAAAGACTGGGGTGTTCCAGAACACCAGCTTCCCAGGGGACACTTTGATAAAAATAAAAAATGGGGACTGGGGTGGGGTGACTCAGGCTGAATCACCAAAGGAAAATGGCAGTCTTCTTTATTAGTGAGAGAAGGGAAGCAGGTTACAAGAGAAGCCCCTGCTGTCAGGATTATTAGTCCCAAACCCAAGCACTCAAACAAATGCAGAGGTGTATGTACACAGTTAGTATGTGTGTGGGGAGGCATCTCTTAAACTACCCTCCATGGAAAAATATGAGCCTAGATTCTAATCCTCCCTACTCCTCGGAGGTGGGTGGTTGAGCCCCCGTGGCCCAAAAAGTGGTATTTTCAGGGCATGGGCCAGCCTATAGCACTCACGTGGTCCAGTGGTACTCAGTGGCTGGAGGGTTAGCATCTGCTTTGCATGTAAGCTTCACATCTGTCCGCTGCAGGTACCAGTTGCCATCAAAGCCCTCAATGGTCACCTCAGGTTCATCTGTGAGGTAAGGGAGGATTTTGGAAGAGGGTGAGGTCAGGAGGGCAGACAGGGAAGGGCTAGCAGGGACAGTTAAGGAAGGGAGACGGGGACGGGACGAAGGAGCAGCTTGGAGAGTAAGTTGGCATTGCGGGACCTCAGCAGAAGTGACAAGGGGAAAGGTTAGAAGGAGAGGCGGAAGTTACCGAGGAAGAGGACAGGGAGATCACAGCATCTTGGGAGGGAAAGTAGTGGGGAGAGACGAGGGAACAGAGGAGGAGGGCAACAGGTAGGAAGGGCCATGGCTCACACTGCACGTTGAGTGTAAGGCTCTCCTTGAAGCGGTCCAGGTGATAGTTGACGATACAGGCCAGGGACTGCCGGTGGGCTTCCCTGCTGGGCACCAATCGGTAGCGGCTGATGACTGTCACCGTGCCATTGGGGTTCCGAATTTCCTGGTACTCTGCCTCGCCCTTTAGCCGTGTCTCCCAGGACACCACACTGGGAGGCTTCCCGTTGGCTGAGGTGCAGGTGGCCACCAAGACCTTGTCATCCTGACCTTTCCTGGCTCGAAGCACTGCCTGAGTACCCTCGATCCAGTTGGTGGGCTTGGCTGTGGGGAACAACACCATGGCATCAGTTGAAATTGCCTGGGCGTCTGCTAGGTAGTCACCCTGGCCACCCCTGCTTCTCAACCATGCTTTGCCAGAGCCCTTCCCAGAATTTCTCTTGGGAAGTTCTTCATGTCTCCTTGCTCCACAAACAGTCCTGTTTTTAGGCTTCTTAAGAGTCTTGGGATGCTTAAGCCAAGCAGTTTCCTTCCTTACCATGGTGTCTAAAGCACCTGCCTGCTTCCTGGTCTCCAACACACGTCTCTTGGAGGGGGCCCAACCTAAATACAGTTCCTGACCCTGTCCAAAGCCACGGCTCCCCATCCCTGATCCTCGAGGGGAATTGTGGACACCACAATTTCACTTGGCTAGTCAAGTGAGAGGCATTGTACCTGGAGTTATGGGAACATGCCAACTCAACAGGGGTGTCTGTGGCCACTGAGGTACATGCTAAGGATAGCCAAGCCATTTAGACAGGCAAGGGAAAGAGCCCCAGGGCAGCTTACCCATCACAGTGAGGTTGAGCTGGCTTTCACGGTTGCCTGTAGGGAAGGTGGCAAATTCACAGATGTACATGCCCTCATCCTCCAGCTCCAGGTGGGAGAGGCGGATGGTGCCATCGATGAAGGAGGGTCGCAGGAACTCCACTCGTTTCTCGTAGGGGGGCAGCACCGACACGCCCATGGTTGGGTTGTAGATGGCCATGTTCTGCTTGGAGCCGTTGGTGGCCTTCTGCCATGTGACCTGGGTGATCTTCACACTGGGCAGTGGGTTGGCAAAGCTACAGTGCAGAACCACATCCGTGCCGATGAAGCCATACATGGAGTCGTTCACCTGCACCACCTGCGTGTGAGAGCCTGGCAGAAGGGAGGACAGGAAGTGGTCAGTGCCAGGCACTACTCCCCAGCCCCACTTCTCTGACCCCTGGTCTTGACTTCCTCAGCAGTCACATTCCTTTTGTAAATCTTCTTGTAGAAATAATCACTGGGTCTGGTGTCTTGTGCCTATAACTCCAGCACTTGGGAGGCTAATTGGGATGTTTGCTATGAGACTCCGAAGCCGACCTGGGTTACATAGTAAGTTCCAGGACAGTCTGAGCTACAAGTGAAACTCATTTCACATCCCCCTCAGAGTAGACAAATCACTTACTTGATATTAAAACCACCCATAGGCTGTTAAGATGGCTCAGTGGGTAAAGACATTGGCCACCAAACACGATGACCTAAATTTGATACCTAGAACTCACACAGTGGGAGAAGGTACTTCTATAAAAGGTTCTCTGACCTCCACACATACCCACCATGGCTAATGCACACACATGTAAAAATAAATAAACGAATTTAATAATAAAATCCCTCTCTGGACGGTTCTGTGAAAGATACCTAGAAGACAATGAATGACATCATTCACTTGTAGCTCATAATGCCCTTGAACTCACAATCCTCGCCCAAGCTTCCTGAGTGCTGGGATTCTCTGTGTGTGCCACTGTCATTCCTGGCAATGATCTGTACGGTTTTTTGCATGTGTATGTGTTATGCATGCAAATGTGGGCCTGTGGTTGGTGTTAACTATCTTTCTTGATTGAGTTCCAACATATTTTTTCTTTCTTTTTCTTTTCTTTTTTTTTTTTTTTTTTTTGACAGTGTCTTCCTATGTAGTCCTGGCTGGCTTAGAATTTGCTGTGTAAACCAGGCTGGCTTCAAATTTGTAGATATTTGCTTGCCTCTACCTCCTCAGTGCTGGAGTTAAACACATGACCTTCTCAGCCTCATATTTTTAGGCACGATCTCTCAGTTGGACCCAGATGGGGTTAGCCAGCTTGCTCCAGGGATCCCATCTTTGCCTCCTGGCCAGGCCACTATGCCCATCTGGCCTTTGTGTGGGTGCTGGGGACCCTCAATATACTCCTTTTGCTTTTGTGGCAAGCACTTTGCCCAATGAACCATCTCCCTAGCTCTCTACATTAAAAAGAAAGCCAACCCCTCCTCTCTCAAAAAAACAAACCAAACCAAAACCAAACCCCAAAACCCAAACAAAATCAGAATCATACTGTACAGATTGTTCCAAATGCTGCTTTTCACAGAGTGATACAGGCCAGTGTTCCAAACATACGCATTAGTATCCATATATCCACACCCTAGCTTTCCTCCTTTTTTCTGGTTCTTTGGATGAAGCCCAGGGCCTTGCTCAGGCCTGTCAAGTTTTCTTCCACTGAGCTACATTCAAGCTCTGCCTCCCCCTGCCCTCCCAAGATGCCTTTTAAGGCGTCTTTAAGGCGGTTTCTGGCTTTATGGTCAAGACTGATCTTGAACTAAGCATCTTCCTGCCTCAGCCTCCAGAATGTTGGGATTACAGGCAGCAGCACCATATCTGCCTAGCTTGCCATCATTTTGGATGAGGGTGAAAAGCTCTCCTTTCCAAGAAGAGCAGAGCTCTAGCTAAGAACTTTCCTGGGCTTCAGTTCCCTCATCTGACAAATGAGCCAGATAATCCAGTGTTCTCCACCTTACCCGTTGCTGGGGAACCAGGTGACATACAGGTAAGAAAGGACATGGGGGCAGGGGCAGGAATCTGGAGAAGCTGCTGAGGATTCGAAGCTAGAGGGCCCTTCCCCTTCAGCTCCCATGAGGAGCCCACACAAGCCCTTCCATTCGAAAGCTGCCCAATCTGGTCCTCCAGGTTCCTCTGAGCATAGCCCTCCCTGTCTCAGAATATGGCTGCTTATACCCCTGACTTCTCTCTGGACTATGAACTTCTACAGTTGGTTCTCTTCCTGAGTCCCCAATGCCCAGTGAAGCTCAGTAGCTGGCTTACAGAGCATGCTTCTGTGTTTCATTTTCTCTAGTATAGCAAATATTTATCACTGGGCAAACTGCAGTGGCAGCCAAGAGAATGGGTATTCCCAGGAAGGGGCAGGCAGCTGGGGCTCCCTCATCTAGAAGGCTTTTTTCCTTGAGCCCCCTTAGCCTGAGTTTGGTGCTGGCCTGGGGCAACCATGCCAGACCCAGGCTCTGTCCTCCACTTCTCTCCATCTCTGAGTCTGTCACATCCCCAAAGCTGCATCTTTGTCACATGACTATACGTACTTCCTGTCACTGATGAGAGACCGTGTTTGTGGGCTTCGTATCTTGCATCCTGAGTGCCATCAATAATATCAGGCCCTCTACTGACCCAAAGGCAGGAGGATGGCCCCCAGAGACCTGGGATCCTTGCCTCCTCTGTGTGATGGAGAAGTTGGGGTTGCTGGGTAGGTCCCAAAGCCCATGGTCACTTTAGTACATTGCTCCCAATTCCACTCTTCCAGAGATCACAGTGACTGTGGGATCTCAGGGGCTTAGAATAAAGCAGGCTTTCAAGAAATGCATGCTAAGCCAGGCATGGTGGGACGTGCTTGTAATATTAGCATTCAGGCAGCAGAGTCAGGATGGCAAGTTCAAGGCCAGTCCGGACTATATAGTAAGACCTTGCAGGTGGGTGGAGGAAAGAAGGAGAGGAGAGGAGATGGGGGAGGAAGAAAGGGAGGGAAAGAGAGAGAGAATTGCTGAAGATATCTGGTTTTGGCTTTCTTGAGCCATGTCCTTGGCACTGAGAATTTCATCCATATCCCCGTTCTTTTCGCCATTCATACAGCCTTACCAACACACTGAGTGTTCCTATTCCCCTAGCTGGCCCTTGGCAGCAACAGACGTCTCAAGCGGAGATGTTGGGGGCTGGAGAAGCTGCGAGGGGGAAGTGTGGCACATAGTTGGGGGCCATCTACTTGTGGGACCCTGGCAGCCTTTATAAAGGAGTAGGCTGGATGCCCTGGGTCTCCTGTTTCCTTCTGGCTCTGTCTGACAGCAGCCCAGCCTGTGCCCCACCCGGAAGCAGCCCTGAGAGGAGGTCAGTGGGTCAGATGGTCTAGCACTCTTGCTGACTGGTCAGCTGGCAAGCAACTAATTCCTCCATCCTCCTTGACAGGATAAATGGGTGCTCCCTGATGCTCCTCCAGCCTCCACTCCCCAAGCCTGCTGGAGGCTGCCCAACAGCTGAGATAATGTGGGCATAATTGGGGAACTTGCACCACATAAAGCCTAGAACTGGAAAAGCCAGTTGGTAGGGCTTGGGCCACAGGTGAGAGTTGGAGGAAGGGGCATGGGCATCAGGAACCATCTTGGTGCTAGGTCTAGTAGGTCTGAAGGGGCACATGGCCCACTGAGCTCCACTACCCCATCTCCTCACATCCCTTCTGCAGGTGTGGGGAAGACAAGGGGCTGGCCCTGGTTCCCAAGCAGTGACCTCACCCTTCAGGGATACATCAGTGCTAGGAGGGGAGGTTGCTAATGATGCCCCATGGAAGTTGGGGTGGTTTCTGGTGTGTGTGTGTGTGTGTGTGTGTGTGTGTGTGTCCTCCCTACCTAAGCCTACCCTGGTTAGAGGCCGTTTTTCTCTCCACTGGGTTTTCCCAGAAGCAGCTTCAAGGTGGTGCAGAAAAAAACATTCCTGGCATCCCCTCACGGTACACAAAGGCATTCCTGGCCCTTTCTGTCCCTGTGATGGGCTGGGAGAGGACAGGGAGGACCTCTCGGTAGCGGGCATGTTCACTTTCACCCTCGGCCTCTCCCATAGCAGGCTGTTAACAGAGCCTAGGAGGTGGTTCGAGGGTGGCATGTGGGGCTCTTGGAATATTGAGGGTAGAGACCCCAGTGTCCTAGAGTTGAAAGAGGATGATTAGCAAAATTGGGCCACTCCTCAACATTCTAGCTGGAGGGACCTGGTTCCCAAGCTTCTGCAGGGGCTCCCTGGCTTGGCCAAAGCATGTCAAGTCAGGTTTAGGTAACCACCTCTTAGACTGTGTGGCTTTTCTTTTTCTTTCTTTCTTTTTTTTTTTCAAGGGAGCAGGGCTCACCCTTGAACATGGAGAGGAGGGGCTGAGGAAGCCTGGGAAAAGGAACAGGATTGATGGGTGCCTGCTGGGGCAGGTGGCAGGAAGTGGGGGTTTTAGAATATGCTCATCTTTCTCCGTTTCTGCTCCAGCATCATAATCTTGAAAATGATATAGGTGGCTGCCGAGCTCTGTAGGGACTTTCTGGCACTCTCTTTTGCGAACAGAGGGGCTGGGAACAGTCTTCAGTGTGAGTTTGCATTCCGCCTCTGGGACATCTCGTGGGCTAATGCTTAAGCTCTCCATGACTCGGTTCACACTGAGGTGCACATCTGCCAAATGGGGATTCTAATAGTGTATGCCTGCCCCTAAAGGACTGTTGCAAGGATGAAATGGAGTAGGTAAGCAGAAAGCAGTATTAGCACAAAATAAATGCTCAATCAATGTTGGTTGCTGCCATCATCATCTATCATCATCATCATCATTATCATCACCATCATCATCTGTGAAACAGTAGGTCTCCCTCTCTGGAACTTCATTCGACAAATGTTTACTGATCATCTACCTGGCGGTAGGCACTGTACGGGTCCTCCTCTTCTGGGGCACTATGATGGTTCTCATTCCTGACTCTCTGATGGGCACTTCTGCTAGGACCTCAATGGCACATTACCTGCAACTGTAGCCATTACTAATTCCTGCCCTTGTTTGGAGTCTATATCCTGTCACTTACTGGGGGTCTAGCTACCATGGGAAAAGCAGGGACATGCTTGACCTTGGGCTGTGTTGACCACATTATGCCTGACATGGCAGGCCCAAACCTGGGGAGCCTGCTGACTCTCTGGTTACCCAAGCAGTAGGTCCTCTGCCCCTGCAGACTACAGACTGGAGCTTGTGACATGTTAGCACATGAGAGTTCAATGGTTCAGGCAACTTTCCACTAGCCAAGTGAAGAGGGATTGGGTCATCTGCCAAGTGAGACAGAATGGCAGCCCC